AGCTAAAGGAAATTTGATTGCCCTTCCTAGACTTTCTTACCAAATAAAACCTGTTGGTCTGTTGAGGTTCACCCTTTGTGCTCCTTTTCTTATACCTTTTTCCATGTTTACTAGCTTGAAAATGGAATTCTGCAATTAATATTCTTCCATCATAAGAGGCACTGGTAGTGAAATGCTGCTGTTTGTATTTGTCAGCTTTTGGGTGTAACAAATCAAACCCCAAATTTAGCAGCTTTAAAAGAACAATGATTAAGATTCTGTAGCTTCTGTTCTGAACTAGCTTTCTTGGAACTGGATGGTCTAGAATGCCCTGACTTAAATGTCTGGAGCTTTAGTTGGGATGGGTGGACAGTTGAGTTTGATAGGGCACCTCTTTCCATGTTATGACTCATCAATCTCCAAGTTTCTTTACATGATTGTGGAAGAGTTTCCAGTGACAAGAAAGGCAAGGTCAGTGTACAAGTATTTTTAATTAAGTTTCCATTTATATTTTCCAATATCCATTGACCAAAGAAAATTAAGTGGTCAACCTTAGAATTCAGTGGGTAGGGAAAAGACCCAACATTTTGGGTGGAGGAACTACAAAGAATTCATGGCCATTTCTTTGTAATCTACCATACTGTGGATGATGGTATAGAAAAGCAAAAGTTTTAGAGATAGAAAGAACAGTCAAATCATAAATAATCTGCTTAAGATAAGTGATCTGAGGCAATCACCTTCTGAATCTGTTTTCTCTTCTGAATGTGAGAAATCTACACCTATTTTACTTAAAATGAGGTATTTATCTATTTTCACAATAAGAGTGTTAGACCTAGATGCCAGGCCAGGCAATGGCAGGTATGGAATACTGCTGACCATTATAACACGCTCATGACGATAGCAATGCAAGTATTAATTTTTTGGCAATGGCCGTGGCTTGAAATTGGGACCACACACTTACTAGGCAAGTGATTTATACCACTTGAACCATGCCCCTAGCCCATTTTGCCTTAGCTATTTTTCATGAGAAGAGATGATCTCTTATTTCTTCTTAGAGCAGGCTTCAGACAATAATCCTCATACCTATAGTCTCCCAGACAGCTCATACCACAGGCACATACCACCATGTCAGCCTTACTGATTGAGATGGGGGTCTCTTTTTTCTTTTCCTTTTTATATTGTTCACCGCCGTTCTCTTTTGTGTAGGCAGGCCTTGAACCAGAATCCTGATCTCCAACTCCTGAGTAACTAGGATTACAGTGCCTGCCCTAATTTTTGTTGAGACAGGTATTCCTCATGTAGCTAGGCTGGTCAATAAGTTGCTATTTATCCCCCAAAGTAGCCTAGAACTCATGATCCTCCTGCCCTCCGCTTCCTGAATGCTATAAATGTAGGCACAAACCACACTTAGCTTAACATGAGTTTTATTACTTTATTTTTGAAATAACATACATTTATAAGGGCATTTCGTTCCGATACTTCCATGCATATACACCGTACTTTGAACAAATTAATTCACTCCATTATATATACATTCACTCCTCCCTCCTCTCTCCTCACTTTACGAACAACATCTTGTGGGTTTGGTTATGCTGCATTCATATATGTATATTTGTGTGTGTGTGTATTTGTTAAGCTAAGGTGCAAGACCAGGCTATGGCAGGTACAGTACAGTATTGATGACCAATATAACACTCTTATACCAATATAAGCATTAATGTTTTGGAAATTACTGGGGCTTGACACCAGGACCATGTATTTGTTAGGCAAGTGCTTTATACCATTGACCCATTCCCCTACCCATTTTGCCTTATTTTTCATGTGTGTGCATGTGCACATGGGCATGTCTTCTGTGTGTATGATGCCCCTTGATCTTTTTCATCCTTTAATATCCCTCCCTTTTGTTCTCTTCCTATTTGAAAACTATAAATTATGGCCCAACTTGACAATAATAATCATTGTATCTTCCTTTACTCTTTTTTTTCCTCTGTAGTATTTATTCTGTCACCATTCCAGTATGTTTAGAAACCACAAAGGTCCACCATGCTATAGAATTGTGGCTCTATGCAGCCTGTGTGAGGGGAGTCAAAAATCATTGCTGTATAATGAAGGTGACTACTTTGTGAAGCCTGAGAAAATCACTAGAAAGCATTAAAAGTGAAGGGAACACCAGAAATTATCTATTCCAACTTATTCATATTCCAAAACAACCCAGTACCAATATATGATGAGAAAGGATCCCAAAATACTGTAAGCCTAGAGGAAGAGAAGTAGAATGCATACAAATCAACTTATTTGGGACTTTTTAGTAAAACCATTGAGGGGTAACAATATGAGCTGGATCCTTGCATTTGGGGTAAGAAAATGTGAGCTTATAAAAAGTGACTTCAGAAAAATAAGAGTGTAACTGGTTTATCTCATGCTAGTATCAAAGAATCAGGAATATTCCTGGCACCAGGGTCTGGTTGTAAAGCACTGCATACCACTCTAAGGATTTGACTTATTTATAGTAAGCTGATAAACTATGTGAGAAAATCCAACCAGAGAACTTCATGACAATCATGGCCATTATTACTACAATTTTGTCAGCTGACTCTTACAGCAATTTATATTAGTATTAAAGAAATTTAGGCCTTGAGAAAGGACATGGTTAGCTAATTAGTGTTCTCATCCAAATTCCTAATGATACTGATCTTAGAGTTTTATGCTGGTGCCTGTGCCTCCCTATTATACATCTAGCTTTTTAAAATTATATTTTATTGTCGTAGTTATACAAAGGAGTGATTATTCAACAAATCAATTTATAAGTACAATGCATCTTGATCGATGTCCTTTTCATCACTCTCCCCAATCCTTCCAAACCCTTCTCTTCAGTTTACTTAATTTCCTAAGATATACATTGACTATTATAACAGAAAACTGAAAAATTTCCAAATGTTTAGCAGTTAAAATATTTCAGAAAATTTAAAGATCAAGGTTAAGTCACCAGAGAAATCTGAGACTATTTTGAACTAAATATTAATCAAAAGACTACACACCAAAATTTGATAAATACCACTAACACAGTGCTTACAGACAGAAAAGACTTGCAATTAATAATCTGAATTTCCACCTTAAAAAGTTAGAAGGTCTGGGAACCAGTGAATCAAGCCTATAACCCTAGCTGCTCAGAAGGCTGAGATAGGTTTGAAGCCAGCCTGGGCAGCAAAGTCTGTAAGAGGCTTATCTCCAATTAGCCACCAAAAATAGTTGAAGTAAAGCTCAGGGACAGAATCCAGGCCCCTGGGTTCACGTCCCAAGACCAGCACAAAAAAGGAAGAAAAAGAAAAAAGAAAAGAAAGACAACTGCAGAAACCAGTATAAAATAGAAAATAAGTATAGAGGAAAAGCAGCAAAACTTAAAATTGTTCCTTTAAATGTTCAGCAAAAGGTAAATTTGTATAAAAAATCTTGCATCAGAGTCAGGAATATTCCTGATCAATTACCAATATTAAAAATAAGAGGGCAAATGACTACAACTCTTGAAGTCATTAAAACAATAGCATACCAAGCATTAGTAGCTCACACTTGTAATTTTGGCTACTCAGGAGGCTGAGATCTGAGGATTGTGGTTCAAAGCCAGCCCAGGTAGTTAAGTACATGAGTCTCTTATCTGCAATAAGTGACCAAAAAGCTTAGATGGAGCTGTTGTTAAAATGGTAGAAAAAAGCTTAAGGACAGTGCCCAGATCCTGAATTCAAGCCCGAGGACAGGCACACAAAACAAAACAAAATAAAATACAGATAACTGCAGAAGTCAGTGAGAAAAAAATAAATGCATAATAGGGAAAAATCAGCAAAACTTAAAATTGTTCCTTTAAATCTTCAGCCAAAAATAAAATCATGCATCAAAGTCTTTTGATTAATATTTAGTTCAAACAAGAGGATGAATTACTACAGCTTTTAAAGTCAATAAAACAGTATCAACCCAGGGGCAGCTCACACTTGTGATCCTAGCTACTCAGAAGACTGAGATTTGAGGATATAAGTTCAGTGAAACCTTATCTCCACTTAATTACCAAAAAAGCCCAGGCCCTGACCCAGAACCAGCAAAATCAACAACAAACAACAACCAAAAAAATATATAAAGCCAGAGCCAGGTGCTGGTGGCTCAAGCCTATGATCCTAGATACTCAGGAGGCAGAGTTACCTGTATCACAGTTCAGAGGCAGCCTGGGCAGGAAAGTCTGTGAGAATCTTATCTCCAATTAACTATCCAAAAAGAAAAAGCTGAAAGTAGAGTTGTGGTTCAAGTGGCTGAGTGCTAGCCTTGAGCACAAAAGCTCACGGACAACACCCCGGCTCTGAGTTTAGTCCCCAGGGCCAGCACCAAAAATAATAAACAAAAAAATTAAAAAATTAAAAAACAAAACAAGTGACATACCCTTGTGTCATGCCTGTAATCCTAGCTACTCAGGAAGCTGGGTTACCAGGATTACAGTTTAAAGCCAGCCCAAGGAGAAAGTCTGAGAGACTCTTATCCCAGATTAACCATCCGGAAAAAAAAAAAAAAAGCTGAAACTGGAGCTGTGGCTTAGGTGTACAAAGCTGTGGCTTAGTACTAGCCTTGTGCACAAAAAATTCAAGGACAGTGCCCCATCTGAGTTTATGCCTTTATGCCCTAGGACCAGCACCAAAAATAATAAATAAAACAAAACAAGGTACCTGTGTTTCACACCTGTAATCCTAGTGACTCAAGAGGCTGAGTTACCAGGATCACAGTTCAAAGCTAGCCCAAAAGAGAAAGTCTATGAGACTCTTATCTCCAATTAACAACAACAACAAAAAAAATCCCAAACGCTAGTCTTGAGCCAAAAAGCTCAGAAGATAGCACCCGGGGCCCTGAGTTTGAGACCCAGGACCGGCACAAAAACAAAAACAAAAAAAAAAAAGAAAAAAGCAAATTGAGCAGTATTGCGAGTAACTTTATGCCAATGAATTCAATGTTTGAACGAAATGGACAAATTCTTTGAAAGGCACAAATTATGTAGCTCTAAACACCACGGATTTTGGACATTCCAGGTAGAATCGGGGAATGGCAACATTGTAGATCCTTTCTTTAAAGCGCTGTAAATAGAAAGTATAATATCCTTCTATATAGCCCGATATTGTACTGAATATGGTACAGCCGAAATATTCATACTTCTGACCTGGGGTGAGTGTTGGAAGCTCATCCTCTACTCCAGGCCCTCGAATAACTTCCACATCTCCGTTAGAATTGGTCACTTTCAAACAGCAACTGTACAACTGACAAACCTCATCAGGAAGTGCATCTCTTGACATTTCCACCTTGATTTGGTATGAGAAGAAATACTGAGGTGGGTTAATAGAACTGAGTTCTGGCAGGAACGATGTAGAAACTGAAACTGTTATGTCCCCGGTTGTTGCTACACAGTCTGGATCTTGCATGTATCTCAAAATTTGGTTTCTGGTGACAAGGAATCTACCAGATACGACATCATTAACATAAGAAGTAAACCAATCAGTAAAAGAAGAACCGGTGATAAACATTTCAATATCAGAACTCTGAGTCATTTGCTCTGAACGATGGTAGAAAACTTCATTTTTGTTTCGGCCTTCTGCTGCTTCCACAGCTAGGTATTGAATCAAACCAGTATGTACACAGAAAGTTAAAGGCAGACAGTATTTCAGTCCCCGTTTTGGCTGGAATCCTCCAGCAGCCAGCATAGCATCTAAAAAATCTTCAGAACGCTGGTGATCTAGCAGTTGGATAGTTCCGAACAACCCAGGAACCACTAACTTTTGACCATTGTGAATACGGAATGAACACCGGTAATCATCCGGAAGCCTGCAACCAATCTGGGCCTCAATGGCGTCAAGCTCTTCCTCACTGAGGCCTTCTTTCAGAGACAAAACTATTAGAGGGCACCGGGACCACAAATATTTCTTGAGGTCATTCCAGGCCTTTCTAATAGTGGCATAATGGTCAATGTATCTTCCTACATCCAAATAAAAGCCTATGAAGAGAGATTTCCAGCACTCATTCTTCTGTACTTTCTCTTCCTCAGTTACCAACCAATACTTTGTACAGTACCTTCTCCACAGCAGATCATAACTTGCTATCTGATTAAATCTTCGATTGAGGAGACTACAATTGACGAGATCTCGGTAGTCCAAAAGAGTAAAGATGGTAAGCAGGGGATCGGCAGGCAGCGACTCCAGGGTCACCACAGACGGCTCTCCCTCAGCGGCCGCCATCTTCTCCACAGGACAAAGCGCGGTCCCGCGCAAAGCCTGCTGGGTACATCCTGTAAGGCCCCGCCCCCATAACGTCACATCTGGCCCCTCCTCTATTACCACTGTCTTACATGGGTTAGTCCAGCCTACGCTTGCTGTGTGGCTTCTTGCAGCCTGCTTGTATGCCTGTCATCTTCTCTGTTCCAACCCTCAACAGCTATCTTGCCTGAATCCGTCCCCATGGCTACTACCTTGTCTGGCCGGGCCCTCCCAGCTGTTATCTTGCCTGGCCCAGCCCCCATGTCCGCCATCTTGTCTAGCTCCGCCCTCATAGAAGCCATTTTGCCTGCCTGGCCCCGCCCCTATGGCCACCATTTTGTCAAGCCTGGTCGTCACAGCTCTTATCTGGCCCCACCCCCATAGCCGCCATTTTGTCTAGCGTGGCCCTCACAGCTACCTTGTTTGACCGTGTACCCATGGCGCTATCTTATTTCACCCTGCCCTCATGGCCCATCTTTTCTAGCTCTGCCCTCCTACCTTACTGGGCCCCGCCCCCATACCTGCCATTTTGTCTAGCGCGGCCCTCACAGCTATCTTGCCTGGCCCCGCTCCCAAGGCCTACATCTTGTCTAGCCCTGCCCTCATAGAAGCCATCTTGCCTGCATAGCCCCGCCTCCATGACCTCATCTTCTGTAGCCCGGCCCTCACAGCTCTCTTGCCTGGCCCCATAACTATGGCCACCATTTGTCTAGCTCCGCTCTAACAGCTATCTTGCTTGGCTCTGTCCCCATGGCTCCATCTTTTCTATCCTTGCTCTCATGGCCATCATCTTTTCTAGCTCGGCCCTCATATCTATCCTGCTAGGCCTCACCCCCATGGCCACCATCTTGTCTAGTCCTCCCACCCTCACACAGCTCTCTTGCCTGGCCCTGCCCCCATGAACGCCATCTTGCCTAGCCCTCCCCTTTCAGCTATCATGCATTGCCCCTCCCACATGGCCATCATCTTGTCTAGCTCAGTTCTCACAGCTCTTTTGCCTGGATCCGCTTCTATGGATGCCATCGTGTCTAATCCTACCCTCACAGATATTACATCTTGCCCCTCCCATATGGCCACCATCTTGTCTAGCCCTGCCCTCCTAGAAGCCATCTTGCCTCCATGGCTCCTCCCCTAGGGCCGTCTCGTCTAGCCTGGCCCTCACACTTGGCTGGCCCCACCCCCATGGCCCCATCTTGTCTGACAACAACTTTGTCATTTTCTGCCCTGCCCTATAGCTGGAACGTACAGCACAGGTTTGCACATATGATGATGACTAGTATGAAGAATGGAATTGATTCTCTTTTATCGTAAGTAAAGAAAATAGTTATAGCGTATCCCTCTAGATTTAACCAAAGGAAAAGTACTAAAATAAATATTAATGGACCAGTATTTATATATGCCTTTAGATTACAATTTATGAATTAGGTTTGGTGGTACATGTCTGTAATTCTACCTACTGGAGAGGTGGTGGAAAATCACAGAGGCCACAGGAAAAAGGTAGTCGCCATATCCAGAAAAACAAATCACTAAGCAAATGGACTGGAGATATTGCTCAAGTGGTAACTTGCCTAGCAAATTTGAACACTTGAGTTGAATTGCCAGTCCCATAAAAAAAAAAACACCTTTATGAATTATTTTCAAGTGCTCTTTAATACAAGCGAAGGTAGTAAGGAAGTTTGGCCACATATTGATTCAGTATTTTTAAGATGTGTAAACCAAGGTCTAGTGAGCTCAAATGAAGTGGTGTGTTGCAAGATTAGTATTAACAGCTCCAGGACTGTTAGGGTTTTTTTTTTTTTTGTACATTAATAGTCCAGTTAGGAAAAGCAGGCTATTACAAATCAATTGTTTCTGCCTTTTGCGAGTGAAGTTTCCTGGTGGTTAAGATAAATGAACATTTGCTTAGCGTTAACCTGTTTAGTGAAAATGATTAAAACTAAAAATCATCATGTTGAGCATGATAAACCAAGTTCAAGAAGTTATATTGCATGTTTTCACTTATTTGCGGAGTATAAAACTAAAATAATGATGGTGAGGATATGATGATGAGGATGATGATGAGGATAAGAATAGTGGTGGTGGGTCATGAGCATAAAAAGGAGACTGTCCAGGAGGTGACCAGCAAGACTAGGAGAGGGTAAAAGGAAAGGCTACTGAGTAATGACAAGACTTGAAGGATGTTATATGTCATGAAAGACTAAAGAAACCCACCAAATGCTGTTGGAAAATAAAGGGAAAAGGAGGGAATAACAGGAAAATAGCAGGAGTATTCAAAGTGCATCATATGCAGTATAAAAATATATGAGCTTCCACTTACATTATTAATGTACGCTAATTAAAAAATATAAAATGAGGGACTGGGAAGGTGGCTCAGTGGTAGAGTGCTTGCCTTGCATGCATGAGACCCTGGGTTTGATTCCTCAGCACCACATAAGCAGAAAAAAAAAAGCCGGGAGTGGTGCTGTGGCTCAAGTGGTAGAGTGCTAGCCTTGAGCTGAAGAACTGAGGGACAGCACCCAGGCCCAGAGTTCAGGCCCCACGACCGGATCTCCCCCCCCAAAAAAAAAACAAAATGAAAAAATGTAAAAGAAACCTGCTTAGGTGAAATAATGCTGGAAATGATGTCTGTAATTTGTTGTTGAGCTAAGAGATAATGAAAATGACTAGTATATAATTAGTAGCAGAAAAAGAAAAGTATTTAGGGTCACTGAAAAGTGTCTTTTTGCTACTATTTACTAGACATCCTAGATGTGTGTTCTCTTTTATCTAAATTTTATCACTAATGTGCATACTTTGGGAAAAACCCACTATATTTTATGGAATGTTTTGAAGTCTATGCAATAATAATAATTTAATCTACTAAATTCACGAGTTATACTTTATAGAGGACAGGATGCAGCAATACAGAAGAAGACAATTACTCAGTGATCTGCAAGACAGGTCTTCTCTAAAATCCTCCTCCAAAGTAACGGTATTTGTTTTGCAGTATTGTTTTATCCATTAGACAACAGTTTTCTGACCTGAGGAAAAATGAAGGCACAACCTTCTATTGTTTTTGTTTGGTTTAATGACTTAATTGGCAATTATATCTGTCTTAGGAACACATTGCATGTAGCAAATTTCAATGAATCCAGACAGCCCTCAGACTTACCTTTCCCTCGCTGTAGTTCCTCCTTACATGTTTAGAGACTCCTAGAACCTCAGTATTAATAGTGGGTTGCATGGGTCACAGTCCAAGTTAATGGGAAGGGTCTCATTCCATAGCTGCCACCTAAGTTAAGGACCCAGCATGCAAAGGGAGGGGCAGGACAGTGTCCTTAACAGTTAAAGGCAGAAAGCAAAGTAAGCCCCATCTCTTGTCCTTGTCCATATCTGTTCACCATGTTGAGACACCAAGGAAACCCTTATGCTCCCAAGAAACTTAAAATTCCAACACAGAAAACTGCCTCTTGTGTGGGAAGCTGTCAAATCTTTGGAAGCAGAGATCTCCAGGGGTCAGCATAAAAATGTCAGAGCTGATGAGACTGTATATTGAGGTATAAGCAGGAAATAATGCAACTTTAATATTTAGTTCTTTACTTAAAAATATGAAGAAATTAAACACAAACAAGAATCTAGTACTTCAGTTGGCTTAAGTGCATGCATATGATTTCAACATCTATTGGTGTATGGACTAAAATTTAATTTTGCAGACATTTTGTAATGCAACATGTTTACAGAACACATCTAGAGACTACAGAATTTACACTTTCATGGAGGAGAAGATAAAGTACCCTATGGTAGACAATTCTGATGTCCACCACCCTTTTATTTCTATATTGGAAAGCCATGGAAAACTCCTTTTCAGACCTCTTACATTGATCTGAGGTCACAAAATTATCTCTGGCCAGGAGAATGTGGAGGGAAGGTGATTCATTTGGGTTCTTCAACACTTGGCCCCTTTAATAACATGTGAGTTCTTTCACTTGCTCTGAGTTTGTTTTAGTTAGTTGAAGGAGTGATGTAGATGATCTCCTAAGGATCCAGGGAAGGACTGACTCATCAGAGAAAGGTGCTTGGAGGAGTAGTACCCAGGAAAAGTCTGTCCAGGAAGACTTGTAATGGGTTTTCAGGAGACAGGCCATAAGCATTCATTGTTTAAAGGGTATTTTGGTTTTATATGGTTTGAGTGTGTTCCTGAAAGGTTTATGTGCTAGAAGCTTGGCTCTAGTCTTTTGATACTGAGAGATAATGGAACCTTTAAGGGGGTAAGTCATTGAGCAGATCATTGGTAGGTCATTGGAGGCCCTACTCTTAGAAAGAATTAATATAGGGATTAATGTAGTTCTCACAAAACCCCACTTAGTTCCTATGAGAGCAAATTGTGATAAAAAGAGGACACCTGCATCTCCCACTTGAATCCCTTGAGCTTGCTTTCTTACCATATATTCTCTTCTATATGTATTCCTGCTGCCATCGTGATGTCATCCACCATGAGGCGCTTACCAGAGACCAGAAATGGGACTAGTTGTATTACTGCAACTGTGAGATCGCCTTCCATCTCCAACTACAAAGACTTCATATAAAATCAAATAATGATGTCATTGTTCCCCCCCTCAGATCCCCACAAAGCCCTTAGACCTCAGACAGGTAAAAAGATGGACCTAGTATTATCAGGTTCATCTCCACTTCTGATCTAACAGAGCACAATTCAGAGGGGAATTAATTTGTAAAAGCTTTCATGATAGTGTCTCCATCTCTTGACTGAATTGACAATATAAGATTCTAGGCATGAATTCTCAACAGCAACCTGATGAGAAATTACCCTTGTATGGAACCATTAGGACTTCAGGGAACTTAGTGGGACAACCTCTGTGCTTTGGACTGAATGTTTCTGTCTCCACTAATTTTATATGCTGAAATACTAACTCTCAAGGGAATGGTATTGAAAGTGTGTGTGGGGGGGACTCTTCTAAAGGTGATTAGGTAGTGAAGGTGGAGTA